TTATTTGGTCCTATGATTTACAAAGACACTGACTTTAAGGAACAGCTAAAATTTAGTTATAGGTCAAACGTATTCCGTGATCAGTAAGATTATCAAGGGCTGGTCCAATTAATGAAACACTATCACTCAACCAAAAGAAGGAAAACCTGCAGAAGTTCATTTGACAGCCAACATAAAACCATGTTTCCATGATTCTCCAGTTCGGGTGAGAGAGTGTACAACAAAGAGAATTCTCAGGATCCACCAGTTCGGGTGAGAGAGTGTACAACAACGAGAATTCTCAGGATCCATACTTTGTCAGTACGTAAAGTAAGCCAGAAGCATACTAACAAGCAGAATCACCATCCAGCACATATCAAAACAATACCTGCATGCAAAAGTATCCTCTTGAACTTGCTATTTCAGAAGAAACAGAGCATTGATATGCTTTCCACCAGCTGGATTGCTGAAATATGTCATATATATCTGGAGTAACCTCCTGCAGGAAAAAAAATGGCAATAACTAAGATGAAAGTCAACACAGGGAGATCCAATTTCAAGAGTAGGGAACAAGAAACACCTGTAAGCAAATGACATCTGGTGAATGTAGTTGAATAAGTTCACCAAGTGCTTCCATCCTCCCATGCATCTCCAGGTCTGCTCGGAACCAAACATTGTAGCTCAAAATCTTTAAGGAACCAAACACTGCTATTGAATTTGTATCCTCCGCCACAAATTTAAGAAGCTTTCAATCACATGCAATGAACATACATAACTGAAACCTTTTAATAAATTCCCATCTTCATAGTACTATAACCGAGGCTCAAAAGGTACAGTGTTAGACCAAATATACATAGCAAGCAGTCAAATTTCATGATGGTAACACGAATGCTAAAAAGAAAAAAGCAGCAACTCAACAAAACCAATGCTTATACATAACCTCATCAATCCATCATTATGGTTTCAGACAACATTAATAAACTCACAAAGCAAAAGACCAGTAAATCAAAATAAATAAATATAATTAAATCAACTTGAACTACAAAAATTCCACTTACTTGTTAAAACAGAGACTCCCTTGTTTGATGCCCTAGCTCCTTGAAACACATCCAATTTTACACTAGCCCCGTCACTTTCATCTGCATATACTAAAACATTCAACAACAAAATCTAGAAGACTAACAAGCAAATAAGAACTAACCTATATGAACAAACATAAAGAAAAGCTGGCTAGATGATTATTGAGGACAACACAACAAGCTTAACATGTGACTGTCAACAGGCAATGGCATTCATTTTCACATTTTTCATCTCTAAATATATAAATATTTATCAGTAAGTACTTTATTAAGTAAAAATTACTGAAATCCTTTTAATGCAATCCCATCTCCCAAATAAAATGAGGACAAAAAAGCATAATAAGCAACACACATGAACCTAACATATCAGAGGAATCAAACTGAACATTGTGAACAAAACCAGCAACACAATAAAATTATTAATTAACATAACCTCTCTAATCCACCACTATCAATGAAGACAACATAAATAAATAATAAAGCAAAAACCCTTAAAAAAGACAAACTAGAATCTCACTTACGACCCGCCCTTTAGAACTGTGACTCCCTTGTTTGAAGCTTTAACCCTTGAAAATTGAAACCCACCCAATTTCTCACTATGGCCATCAACCCCCATCTGCATGAATCGGCACCAATTCATTCCAGAAACAAAACTAGACAGACCCAACAAAACCCAAAGGACAAAGAACATTACAAGCAACTCACATTGAACCTCACATACACAATAAAGCAGTTAAACTAACCTCGCTAGAATGAAAATAGCAACAAAACTACAACCTCGGAAATTTCCATTATGAGTAGCACTGAAAGGAAATAAAATCACAGAGCATAAACCTTTAAAAAGAAAGAAAGAAAAAACCTTGAGCCACAAACATGGCATACCCTTTAAAACAATCACTCCCTTGTTTGATGCTTTAATCCTTTGGAATCCACCCAATCTCGCAGAAGCCCTATCACTTCCGAAAGGATTCACTTCTCTCTCTCTCCCTCTCCCACGATCCCAACCACCTCTCCCACGATCCAAACCACCTCTCCCACCATCACTACCATACCCACCGCGGTAATCATTTCGGGGAACACCCCAGCGTGATCCACCTCCATACCCAGGACGATCATTACTCGACGCAGGCCCGCTAAAGGCAGCAGCCGGTGGATCTGAAGATGGCGCGCGGTTGCGGAGATGAGGAGGGACATATATGGATCGAGTAGGGGCATTTCCTGCAGTACCTACACTTCCATTGTTAGCAGAAGAGCCAGCATTTGTGCTCTTATCTGCAGAATTCGAAGCCAAATCAGCCCATGAACTCCTCGTATTCATCACAATTCTTAACCTAAACGCAAAAACCCCAATCCTTTCTGAAAAAAAAATCAACTTCTACTTCCACAAATCAAACTTTACGCAATTCCACTATTCATGATATTACAACTTCAATTCAAGCCCTGATCTGATTCACCAGCTGTCAAAATTGAAATGCAATTCTAATCCATAAAAACAAACAATAATCCTACCGTTTTTCTAGAGAGAACCTGAGAAGGAAACGGAAAGGAATGAGAGAGAAAGAGAGAGACGCTGGAAGGGAGGGAAGGATGGTGTGTTAGGAATGGAGAAGATCGAAGAAGACAAAGAAACCCTAAAATTAAGGATGAAGAAGATGGAAAAGGAACAGATTTTGTTATGAAGAAACGCAAAAATATGTATTGGTGGGGCTTCCAATCAAATCATATCATAATAATCACATTACAAAATTATAGTTATAATTACAAATTAAAAGAAAAAAAAATGTAATTATAACTTTATAAGAAACTCTTACAAAATAGATTACCAGAACTCACAAACTTGCAAAGCGGTGGAGCAACAGTGGATCAAAAGGAAACGATTATCTTCTTAATTTTTTTATATTAAAATATTAAAATATTAATTTAGTGAATTATTATTAGACGGAAGGAATGTTTTGACTATATATATTTATCATTGCTCTAATTTTCCCTTTTTTTCTTTCCTTTTCTTATCTTTCTCTGTTTAAGATTGTTCAACTGCGGTTTCCTGTCTCTTGCTTTACTTATTAATTAATTTTCCTTGTTTTTTTATTTATATTTCAAGTAAATTTTTTTTTTGTATTTATTTGATTATTTAATTTTATTTTTATTTTTTTATAATTAGTTATTAAAAATAGAGTTTATAATAATTTATTTAAATATGTTCAAAATAAATATTTAAATTTATTAATTTAATGAATTAAGTGTTTTTTATTATAAAAAAATAAGTTAATATTCATGTAAAACTACTATTATTAACATCTCTTGTATTGACAAAATTATTTATTGAAATTTAATACTTTCACATAATTTATTTATAAGTAAAATATCAAGTAGAAAACATATTTTTCAAGTATTATTTCTATTATACATATACTTGTTCCTCAATTAAATATCTAGAAATAATTAAATATAATTTAATCAATATACTTATTATATACATACATATACATATATATATATATATATATTGAAATATATTTTGATTTTAATGAATTGAAGTGTATTTTATATAGAAAATTTAGAGTTATTGTGTATCTCAACTGAATTTTATTTAATAGTGAATTATTATATAATTATGTTAATTATTATGTAGATACTAATAATGATAAAAAAAATATAGCAGGTTTATATTAAATTAATATATCACTAGATAAGTATTTCAAGTATAAATTTTTTGAGGATGAAGAGTCAATTAAAGCTTCATATCATATAACTCAATCAAGTTAAAAAAAAATCATATTGAAATCAATCTCGATACTCTTCTTATTAACTCTGGTTTAAAAAAACTAGTTTATGAATACCATATAAATAATAAAAATGCAATCCAAAGAGCTTATATACAAAAAGATCATTATCAGCTTTCACACCATGATTTTTCTAAAAAACAATTTGGGAATATATCAATAATTTTTTCAAAGATCTTGTCTTTTGCTTGTATTGTTACCTCTTCAAGTTAAAAGGGAATGTTAATTCGTTTATTATGATAAAATTGATAATAAAACTATTATAAAATGATTTTAAAATATGAAAACTAAAAAAAACAATTATAATTTAAGTTTTTTCATTTTAAGATCTTCAATAATAATTTAAAAAAAATAAAAATACTCTTTAAAATATTAAATTCTTAGATCTTATTATGAAATACACACCTAAATTTACTTTTTTAAAAGTAAAGTATTAGCTTGATTTCATAAATAAATCAAGTCATCGTGAATTAAATTTAAGAAGAGAATTAGATAGTTATTTTATTTTTTATTTACAAATTATATTTTAAATAAAAATTATATCTAATTATATATTTTAATAAAATGAGATATTTATAGATAGTTGCTTATGACTAGAGATACTCTTACTTTGACCATAACTTTAAAAATTATAGTAAAAAATTGGGTTGAAAACATCATAAATTTATAATATTTTCAAATCTAATTTTTTTCCAACCTTAATTAACCGCAAACATAAAAGAATTCAAGGTAATCTTGAAAGGTTGTGTTAATCCAGACCTCTAATTATTGCCATTTACCGGACATGTTTATAAATATGCTACATACCAAGTAGCTTAACATATATGTTTTTTCAGAAAATACACGGCTTCATACCATTTATGAACCCAAACATACACCATGAATTGGATTCTTGTTCAATCTTATTAATTTAGAGTCCATTTTATTAGAATTCTGTAAACTAATTTTAGTTATTTCTGTTTAGATTTATTTGTCTTGATATTTCGAAGAGAAATCGTATGTTTGGTTGAAATTATCTTTGATTTTCACTCTAAATATTGAATCATAATCCTGTATTTCAAGTTACTGTCATAACTCATGCTAAATGCAATTTTTTCTTTATTTATTTACCTTCTACAAAATACACACATATTTTTTTTTCTTTTATAATAGTCGAGTGAATTTATTATCAAAGCTAGTGCCAGTAAGTTGTTGGCAAACCAGGAATTAAGTAAAAACATATAATCTCATGTGCAAAAGAAAAGTGCAGAACAAAGATGATCGAGTTAAAAATTGCTTAAGTTAGAGAAAGAAAAACTCTTTTAAGCTCATTATATACTTATGAGTCCATTTCCGTGTCCCTTATATTTCATCTCTTCACTTTTCTACAAGAAAGCCTCCACACTTGCTCCAGAAGATATCCCTACCTTGCCTGTGCAGTAAACTAGTGATCAATGGAATACCAGAAACCGAAATGCTTCCTTTCAGCTATGATACGATAATTTCTTACACCATTCTCTAGCACATGCATAGTCAAGGTAACTCTATCTACTGGCCTGAGCTTTTTCTGAAGAACATAGAGTCCCCATTGACCACATATCCAAGGTTTTAGATACTTACCTTTCTTGCGCACAGAGATCTTCAGTCTCCACGGTTGGTCTAACATGTCAAATGCAACGAAATGAACTGAATTTTGACCGGCAGGCAAAGTGAAAGCCCCCAAGCTCTCAGTCGGGAATTCGAATCGCTTATTACTGGAGTCACTTTCGGATAGCAATTTGGCCATCACCTCCATTTTTAGAGAGTGGCTCGGGAAAATGTATAATTAAGAAGGTATATGCGTTCTAAATGGTTAATTTGAAGATTTTTATTGGGATGGTGATGTGGGAGTTGGATGGATACAAGTCATTCATACTGATCATCAAATTATGGAAATTTATAAACCTCAGTATGTGGCGTTGACATATTGTTATATCTAGAATTTGGATTGGGAACATGCACTGAAATTACTAATGATCTTCGGAAAACATGGCGGTCAATAAAGTGGAGTTTTTCTTTTCTTTTCTTTTCCTTTTACTTTAAAGATTATTGTGGATTTCACTACATGTGAACTTCGGGCTGGGTACATGCATGACAATTTAGTAAACCTACAGAAAGAAAAACTTTGTCCGAGTTGTTTTGACCTCCTATGCAAGTAATATTCTAGAACCAGTTACTGGAAAGTAGATGACAGACAATGTTGTCTTAGTCTACAGGTCCACAAAGAAAAACAGAAGATAGTTTCGCTAATATGGGTGGGAGTCCGTCAAAATACCTATTTAGAGAAGCTTTCAACTGTAGTTCACTGTGGAAAACAGGATACAAAACAGGCAAAATCAGCTTTTTGTGCCCTTTGATTGTGGCAATCGATTGTTTTTCTTTTGAACTTCTAAGTATGGTCGATTGGCTTTAAAATCTACCGAAAGTAGGTCCATTGATCCATTTAATAAATACCCCTTAGAAAACTACCAGATTGCATTTAATTTTTAGAAAATATGGTTTTTAATATTGCAATATTGTTAGGCAGTTTCAAGTTTTTTTTTTTTTCCTTCATTTCTCTGCTTTTATGGACTTAATAGAGAAGCCAATCAATCATGCTTTGTTTTGTGATTTTTCTGTATATTTTTGGTTATTTTTTCTCTCCTGTTTAGCCATGTTCTTATTGGCTAAATATGATGATTAATAAAATTCTCGTCTTTCATTAAAAAAAAAAAAAACTATTGTTTTGGCTACTGGTGCGATTTAGAGTTTATCCAATTGTGCCAAGTTAACAATGAATAATATTGGAAGGGGAACCCCTACTTAATTTTGCAAATTTTCCTCTTTTTCAAATTTATAAGAATTTTAGGGGAATTCAATCCCGAACCACTTAAGGAAGATTAAAACAGAAATGTTTCTAGATCATATGTAGTTCCACAAAGGCAACAGTTAATTTTCAAAGAATCAGTTATTTATATGATTTAAAATCATTATATCAATTTTAGAACAAATGTATAGAGAGGGTAACTAATTTTAAACGCTTATATTTAAAATTTATGTATTTGAAGTTGTATTTTTATTAATTTATAATCTTTATTAAAGTTTAAAAATTTCTATTTATTATTATTAATTGTCGTTGTATAATATCTAACTAAATTTGTTTTAAAAAAAATATGAAAAGAACTAAATACGTGTTGTCTTTTATATATTCAAGAAGATTATTGAAAAAATAGATTATATATATTAAAAGATTTTAATTTTTTTAAATTAAAGTATTTAAATTAAAAAAAATTATTTTATATTGAAAAAACTTAATTTTTTTCTTGTAAATATAAAGTATATATACGAAACTATTTCAAATCACTTATTGAAAAAATAAATTTTTTTATATAAAATATATATCCTTAAATATTTCAAATCCTACATGAAAAAAATAAAATATTTTTATAATATTTATATAATGAATTTTAAAAAATATTAATAATTAACTAAAAAATATATGAAAAAAGGGATGTAAAAGAAAAATTATATTTAAAAAAAAATACCAAGCCTTATCAGGATTTGCCTGAATTATAAATTGATCAATTTAATTGACCGAGTTTTGTTGTTTTGTTATACTAACCGGTTTTTTATTTTATTTTAATCAGTCCCGCTATCACGTTGATAAATTAACCTATTAATCTAATCTGACAGCTGCGAAAACCCGACCATTATTTGAAAGAAAAAAACACTTCTCCAAGAGTATCCGATGGTCTCTTACCGTGCCAACAAGACAACAACTGAATGTTATTTGTTGACGATAATGTAATGTCAAATAAAGTAAAAGTCTAACAATAGTCTGGTTCCGTTTCTAACACGTGATTAACCAATAGGAGTCATGAACCAGAGCGCTCTATGTTCAGTGCATGAAGAAATTGACGAACAACCTTCGACAAACTAAAACGTTGAAAATGATGTGAATAATGAGAAACGAAGAAAATTATGGAACCATTAGTGGTCTAAATTCAGGCATCTAAAATACCTAGAATTGATAGAATGGAAAACTGATGAGGGTGCCCCGACATTCCAATATATCTACATGTACAAGCTGATCTTATTTTATAGTCTTGGATCCTATGGAATGGAAGGCTGATCTTACATTGACATTCCAATGTAATCTGATTCTTGAATCTATATTTTTTTCTAAATATTTTCAACATATAAAAAATATATTCTTAATGTATTTATACTATTTTCTGTTTCGTTTCAAAAAGATTTAAATTATTTTTTTTAATGTATTCAACTTTTAACATTATTTTTAAAATTATTGGTTTTTTTATTGAGTCAAATCTTGTTTTTTTAAAAATCAAAATACAAAAAAAATAAAAAAATATTTTGACAGAAAGATCAAAATGAAAAGAAAAAAAAACAAAGAACTAAAGTGAATTTAGATTGTTTGTTAGACTAAGCAATGGAGAAGAAAATAAATTTTTTACCTATAAAAAAAATTATCTCACACAATAAAATAAAAAAGGGAGATCAACCATTAAAAAAAACAACAAAATAAAAAAAACACCAAAAATCTTTTATATTAAAGTCTCAATATACGTCTTATTCTTAATCTTTTTTTAAGATTGAAGAAGTACCTACATATATAGAATTAAAAAAAAATATTAATTAAAAAAACTTTTAATTATAACTTACATTACAATTGTAATATTCAACCTCTTGAATAGATACATCCATTTATACTGGACTAGTCCTCCAACTTTTACCTCATAAAGTAAGTATACGGATAGATGCTCCATTGAGTCAAAAAAATAATAAAGATAATATCATCCCAAGCTTGCAAATTATCTTGATGGTATTCGTTTCAAGCCTTTCAGTGTAATCAACATTCAACTTTCTAGAGTATATATCTTTAAAGAAATGATTGATTTTCGTGAGTGCATTCCAAATCCCTTTTGATAACAAATCATAAAAAAAACTAATGGAATAAGTGTTTGCATAAACATGTGGCAGTCATGAATCTTCATTTCATATAATTTGCATTCTTCCATATTAACCAGCATTGATATGTTTGAGACATGTCCATTGGGAAAACACAAATTCTTAAGTCATTTGTAGATAAATAGTTGTGTATTTTTCTCTAACACGAAACTTGCTCTTGGTTTTACGACCTGTGACCTATTACAAACCAACTTCATATTTTTATAGTTACAAAACAATGCTAAATCCAATTTAGCCTTGATATTGTCCTTTGTTTTCCCTTTTATATCCATGATGTTATTAAAAAATATTCTCAAACACGTTCTTTTTAATGTGCATGATGTCAAAGTGAACACATATGCTATAACTGATAATTTATTGTGGTTCATGCAGCTATCCCATAATAGTTCGTCATACTCTTTCAATAGATCAAAAAATCTTGTTGCATCTATATTAAGTTCTTCTTCTATGATTGGACATTGACTGACATTACCTTCGTTCATTGTTATTGCATCCATAATCATATTCCTATAAGGATTAATATTGGCATTTACAACTTCATGCACATTGCTAGCATTAAAAGTTAACCCAACCACCCTTTCTATCATACTCTTATTAGGAACAAATAATTCTTCGTGCATATACTAACATAAGTAATCCTTCAAAAACCCTTTTGGTTAAAAGATACATTATTACAACATCTTGATATAGAAACTTTTTATTTTTATACTTCCTACATGGACACATAATACTGTCATCAATAAAATTTCTCGAGATAGATGTTGTAAAATTAATAAAACCCTGAATCCTAGTACAATAATTCATCCTCCAAAATTCTTGGAGTAAGTATCGATACATCCATGAACAATTATCCATGACTTCTATCAAAACTCTATAAAATTATGATGACAACATGTATTAATTAATTATATTACATAAATAAATTTGTAAAAATATTAGTTTGCCCCAACATTATCCAACAAACTAAAAAAACACTTATGTTAAATATTCATTATTAATTATCAATGTCCATGCAAATTTAAACATATATAAATTTACGAAAATCACAGCTTTGCAATAGGGTTGATAAAAATTAAAATGAATCTATTAAACAAGCTATTATCTATTTCATCACAACACATCTAATTCAATGTAATTCAAATAAAAAGTCAATAATTTACAAACAAATACAATTTGATAAAATCTAAAATAAACTATAACAACTACAAAATTATACATTCATATTACAAGTTTCTTTAATAAATAACAATAAAACAAGTATATACTTTAACAAAATACATATACTAAAAAAATTAATATTTAAATATTAAAATTAAAAAGATAAATTTACTTATAAAAAATAATAAAATTTATAATAAATTAATCAGAGAACGGATATTATGACCATGTACAAAAATATAAAAAACTTGAGTGCTTACATTAAAAAAAAAAAAAAAAAGAAGAGAGCTGGGATGACTGGTTGGTTGCAATTTGAAAGGAAAAAGTTGAAATGAAGAAGAAAAAAATATATAAAAGAAGAGAGTCAGCAGAATATATATATATATGGGTCTTTATTGATGGAGTCACCAATAGCTATATCTTGTCAATAATTTTGATGATGAATAAATTAGGTCACTATATAAAAATTCTAATTTGAAGTACTAAATCATTTCATCAATTAAATTATCTAAAAAAAATTCACATCATGACATTATTTTTCCTTTTTAAAATTCTATATATTTCATCCATCACCGATTTTCTAGTAGAATGCGCATTAAGTGAGTGTTGAACAACTTATCAATATTCAAATCGCTGTATCATTTAGTTAAGTGCAGCGTGTTTAGGAAGGTTATTAATTAATATATAGTAAGTATACGATCTGTACATAACAATTGTCGAAGTTCACTTAAGAAAACAAAAATCTCTGCCATTGTCAACCTTATCATGTAACAAAGCCTCGAATACGGACCCTCAGAAGCTTTAAGTACTTCATTTGATTCGATAATGCTAATGCTAACAGACGTTGAGTAAATATTAAAAATATTGCTCAAGGAAACCCTTAAAATTTATACCGTCCCTACCGGATCAACCTGGTTTCATTAAGAATGATCCCTCTATAATTTAGTTTAGCCAGCCCTACATGGAAGGATTCAACTATGTGATTACACGCCTGGGATTAAATTTAAATATTAGGCATCTTTATTTGTATCCCCTAATTGCCAGTGTACACGACTGGGCTTCTGTTCCTATTTTTCTTTCCCTTAATTTAAATAATATTCTGTTCACATTCATAAAAATAAAATAAAAAATAAAGTAATAGGCCCAAAAGAAGTGTTCACCTATAAGCATACCTAAGAATATTAATTAAGCTAAGAATGAAATTGGATGCCCAACACTATGTTTTAGCCTTTTGGAAGGTCCAATAGCCCAACACTAAATTGTCTCTTTGTTTATCAAATATTTCTGGCCGCCGTCGCATCTTCTTCTTTCTCTTTCAAATCCTCGATTTGCCTCGCATGACAGAACTAGCAAACCAGTGTTCGAAATCTTCAAGAGGTGTCAGGCTCAGATTCCATACCCTTGGCTGTATCGTGTCGACAGCTAGCAGTATTTCGGAATAAAACGAGGGCTCAAGCAGCGGGGTGTTTGACTGTTTTAAAAATATTATCTGGATATATATATATATACACACACACATATATATATATATATATATGATTAGTGTTTAATCCAATTAACAGAGTGCGTACTTTCATGTTTCACTCTACGTTGATCATTCTTTAAATTGGCATCAAACAGTACTGATCTCAAATGTGGATGTGAAGCCATGTGATCTCACTTGGACCTGTAGGTACGTACACAAATGAAACTATTAAGAGTTAAGATACAGTTAAAGAACTTAAACTAACTTCTTGAGGGGGGCAGGTCTGCTATCAATTTCATAATTAAAACCAAGAATCATGACTCAAATTGTCTAATTCCTGTATCAATTAATTAATTGTAGTTCAATAATGGGACAGCTTACCAATATTCAAAATCCAATTTCAATATCAATCCATAGGAGCATGATTTGGAAGAGAGCATGCTTTGGAAGAGTATTAATTAATGGTAAGGCTTGATTGCATCACTCCCTCTCACCAATGTTTACTAATTAATTCAATACCGAATCGAATTAATTTCTTGTCTTTTGTCGAGCAGCTGATCAATCCCCGTAACTGTGCATTAGCTCATCAGAACCAAAATATAATTCTTTCTTCACATTTTCCCAAGTTAAATTAAACAAAAAATCTCAATCATTTAATCTAGCCCGCTGTCAGCTACATTATTGTGGGGCTATATGGGTCCAAAAAAATTAAAAAAAAACTTTTATTTTTTATTTTTATTAAAATTTAATATGGTTGGATTAATATTGAAAATAATTTTTAAAAATAAAAAATTATTATTAACATGTATTTTAATATAAACAATTATTTAAAAAATAATCATTAATACACTTCTAAATACACTATACATGTCTAACAAGTATATTACCATCCTATTCCTCTTATCCTATCCGATGTACGTACGAAAATCCTCTCGAGAGAAACTCCTCCTGCAGGCCAAGAAATCAAGTGAAACTCGGAATTGAAGGAGAATCAGGAGGCTAGAACAGAAAAGGGACGGCAATATTAGTCCACGGATGAGACAACCAAAAGGACCTCACTACAAGGAACCCTCCAAGAAAACTAAAGGGCCCCCTCTACTTTTTGCAGTTTATATTATTATATATCTTGCAGACATGTGCTGGTGGTTCTTCGAGATACTGTTTAAAGCACTTGAAATAAAATTAATTGATAAAATCAAGAGTTAATACACCTCAATCGATAGATAATAGGTGGTACACTTGTAGAAGCTAAATTGAGTTTTTTAAATATTTGGATTCTGTTTGTTTTTTTCTGTGCTTCAAACTAATTATAAAGTTTAGTGTTCTTGAAAAAATAAAAATATTATTTTAATATATTTTTAAATAAAAAACTTTTATCACACTTTTAAAAGGTGGGAAAATGAGTTTTATTAAATATTAAATAATCATGTTTCATTAGTCTTCGTGCACATATTAATTAATCAAATTTTTACAAATGTAATAAGACAGTCTTCTGGGGCCACCCACCATCAAAGGCGGCGGGAACACATTCCCGGCATACAAAAAATGCACAAGTGAAACTGAATGAATCCCAGAATTCAATGATGTCCCTCTCCACCAACCCCCACTTCCCGTACATGATGCCGATGGCACCTCTTCTCGTCTCGGTGTTTAGTATTATTACAGGTGGGGTTTTTTTAAATTTTTATATCAGCTAACTAAAATAATTTAAAATTGGAAATTAAATTTCTTTAAAAAAAAAAAATGACAGTCACGCAGGGAAAAAAACAGAAACGAAGAAGAAGCGTCTCCTGGCTATTGGAGGCATGCAACAGGAGCAGCCAGGTTACCATCGTCGTTCACTATTAGATTTTGAAGAACTAAACCACACGTGAACGTGCAACGGTGAACATGTCAGTAAGCGTGCAAAGTAAATCGCAGTCAGTAATGTCAGGCGAGCGGACCACTTCTATGAGAAATTACAAAACACGACATGATCTTTTTCACAGGTCAAGTCCAGATTCGAGACACACTGGCAGCTTGCGTGACAAGCTACTGCGGATGATGGATCACGTAAACGGGTGAACGACTTGCATACAAATATATTACACTTTCACCGACTACAAACAAGGCCGAAAAGGCTTTCTACAACGAGGGACTCAATTATGATTTTGAAAAATATTAAATGAATAATTTACAAATTAATTACCGAAGGTTAGAACTAATGGCACTGATATAAATAGGTCCTTGACTAGCGTTGACCATCCTGAACTTAATAGCTTTTTGTTCAAAAATCGTGATCTATCTTATCTACTTTTCGTTTCTGTTCTTTTCAACTTCTTGAAAATAATAAAAAAACACTCATTAAAAACGGATTTAAGAATATGGATAATCAAAAGTTCTTAAAGCAACTAATTAATCAATCATGTCAGCAATTAACGTCCCTCTCACCTGGTGAAAAGAAGAAAGGAAAAGAAAAGGTTGTAAGATTGCTCCCATTAATTAGCCGACATCTCATCCCTATATGATATTAATTAGTTCAATATTTATTCTTCGATCACAAAGATTTCTAACGTGGGCAGTAGGCTATGGAGGTTCAATGCAGCTTTTTCCATATGTACTAGACTCAATTCAGTTATTTTTACTCGTCATGTCTTATCCGAGATAAGGGAGTCGCAGGTTTTGATTTCTAACTTAACTAGTTGAGATCCGTTTTGTAAGCTTGTTTTTCCTAGTTATCTACTTGCTTGTTATTCCTCTTAGCTATTGCATTATTGATTTTTGTAATGTATATATATGGAGGTTAACTTGATCGACCTGTTCATGCTTCTAGTTTTTTAAAATATTTTAAAAATAAATTAAAACGTAATTCATTTTAAAGTGATCATATCTTAGCCATATATTGGTGCCCTTTAATACCACTTAAACTAGTTTTGATTAATTACAATAACTTAACTCTAGTTAAATTAACTAAAACTAAAGTTAATCAGCTGTCAACAATAACTTTAACTACTTACAATGGGATTAACAAATGGTTCGGAAACATCACTTGTTATTACTAGGACTTACCTTCTTCAAGGCAGACACATATTGCTTTTTCACCTCTAGTATATTACTCAACCTGACAGAATTTCTTAACACCTCCAAAAGATACTTTCTGCTTGCCTGTGACACAAGACATAGGGGCAGAGCCAGCCTCAATCGTCAATTAATATATAGAACCATTACTGCTGATCAATTGAATACCAGAAACCGAAAAGCTTTCTCTCAGCTCTGATATAATATATTCTGTCGCCATTCTCTTGATCATCCATAGTGAAGATAACTTTATCTCCTTTTTTGAGCCCTTTCTGATGAACATAGTCATCCCATTCGCCATTTAGCCAAGGTTTCGAATGCCTTCCTTTATTGCGAATGGAGACCTTAAATTTCCATGGTTTTTGCAGCCTGTCAAATGCCACAAATTCCATCGAGTTCTGACCGTCAGGCATGGGGAAGGCCCGGAGACTCCTAACTGGAAACTCGAGTCTCTTGTATTGTATGCATAATCGTTTCGCAATCTAGACGACGTTCACTGTCGCGCGATGATTAACAAAAACTTACAAGCATGGTGTGTTGCTATTAAGATCGTGATCGAACGCTTACTTGTAAGTTTTTGTTAATCATCGCGCGAAAGTGAACGTCATCTAGATTGCGAAACGATTATGCATTCAATACAAGAATATTCAAAGGGTACGAGAGATATTTCCAATAATTTGACTAGGAAAATTGATCAGCATTTTGGTAAATAATTAAAGCTAAAAACCGTGTTTAAAAAGTTGAGATTAGGTGGAGAAAAAAGCGAGAAGACCTGACTCATTTCATAACCAAAATCAATAACCATTGGTCTTTGATACTTGGATATGATTTTGTTGTTAACTGTGAAGATTAAGAATAAAATCACACTAACTCACTCCAATTCTTTTGAAGTTCACCGAGAAAGATCAGTGCTTACAGGAACTACACTTTTTTTTTGTGTGGGTGTAAGTGTGTGTGTGTGTTCAAATTTGATCTTTAAATAGATGATGTAAAATGATTCTTATAAACCATTAAAACGTATTAATCCGTTTTAGAAAAATATAATGATTTTTTTATAGATCATATAACTAGTGTGATCTGATATTAGTTCCAAGACATAAGAAGATTAGGGATAGCAGCAGCAGGGATTTCAGATTCACACATATACCCTAGTTCTTGTGAATATAAAAGAAAAATAATCAATAATTACTATCGCATGCAACTCGAACCGATATATATTTGTTTACGAAGCCTGTTCATGTCTTTGTCAAGTTCATGTTATATATATTATCTTGGTCTCGTAATCATGACAAGAGCTTTAAGCAGACAACTAACCTAATGCATTTCCCCAAATAAAAACTGAAAAATAGAAATTGGAGCCCTACGTGTCGGTAATCATATCCCTACGAATTAGATTATCTAAGAATCTTATATAGATTGCTGCTGCTCTAACATCATTTATACGTTGATCGTGACAAGGATATATATATATATATATATATATATATATGAACACCCACACATTTTTGTGTATGTACATACGTCACATATATGATTTTGGTAAATAAAAATTTTATTCAATTCAAAAATTAAAATTATTAGGTAGATTTTAAAATATAATTTATATTATTTTTTATTTAAACTTATTTATATTTAAAATTTACATAAATTTACTCTATTTTATACTTAATTTTTATTAAATAAATAAAAATAATAAAATTCAAATTTCATAACTACTTATTTATTGAAACTCTAATATCATGTAAAAAAATTATATTAATCTAAAAAATTAAACTATTAAGTGAGATCATATAATATGATATGATTTATATTATTATTTAAAAATATTAAATTTTGAATTTGTATATTCCTTGAAATTTAAGATTACAAATGTATCATTTATTTTTATTTTTATTTTTATTTTTTATTTTTTATTTTCTTGAGTTTGGATAACAGCATTTAATTTGTTAGCATTATTATACGGTGATTTTGAATGGATCCCCCTTTAATGTGGGATAATCCTAATAATCTTTTTCTCACACAGCAATTTCTGTCTCACGCATCATGACAAATGAATTGTATAACTTTGGACCCTACAATTAGAATTGTCATCCTAATTGTAGGGTCTACATTTATTGGTAGATCTAAGTTATGATACCACTTATTATGTGGTTTTGGGTATATTTTAAGGGAGAAGGTTTTTGTTCACATTTATAAACCGTCCACTAACAGATCCTTCCACAGCTGATGTGGAATAACTCAGTGACGTGGTCCAATGAGATGACCAATATCAGACTAAGTCGATAAAAATTGATCTTGACGACTTAAAGTGAATAGGTTTGCACCTGATCACAAATAAAAAGAGGCAGCTTTGCTTTCGTTGTCATTTGCTTTTTCTCATCAGTAGTGAGAACAGCCATAACACAAAAAATACAACAAAAAATAATGAGAAAAAAGAATTGTAAATATAAAATTTAAATTTATAATTTACTTTCTGAAAACAAAACTAATAAAGTTGGTCTCCTTAAAAAGTTTATTCTTTTTAACTTCTTGTGAAGTTTTTAAGAATACAAACTTTATTGATTTTGTTTTCTCGATAGAAGACAAAACTAATAAAGTTTATATTCTTGAAAAGTTTACAAGAACGGTAAAGAATATTTTAAAATGTGATATTATAGGGATTGTTTTTTAAAGTATTTTTTATTTAAAAATATATTAAAATAAAATTTTAAAAAATTATTTTTAATATTAGTATATTAAATGATTTCAAAATACTAAAAAATATTAATTAAAAAATATTAAATTTTTTAAAAAATATTTTAAAAAAACAAACAAACCATAAATAAATCATTAAAACCCCTAACATCACAATAGAAAATAACTAAGAATATAAAATTTTGAGGGAAATTAAAACAAAATCCAAAAACATTGGTCCACGCCGTAACTTTTAAGCTTAATTAATTCTAAAAAATTTAAATCTCTTTGGCTTATACATATTCCACTTATATATAAAAATACTTATTAGATTATTCATATAGTTTATTTTAATCAAATCTCTATTTAGTTATATTAAATCTTCAATTTCTACAAAACCAACTGCATCGTGAAGGCTAGTTGTCATATAATTTCATAATTTTATTTTCATACAAAATAAACAAACTTTTCCTTATTTTTTGTGCATAGAAAATATTTGTTTTAGGTCATGTTTATTTCTCGGAAAGTAGTTTTTGGAAAACTATTTTTCAAATTTTACTGTGTTTGTTAAACATTAGAAAAGTTGGTCAATAGAAAACACTTTCCAGTCAATAAAAAACACTTTCCAGTCAACAAAAAACACTTTCTTGTCAACGAAAAACACTTTTCAGTCAAAGAAAAATTTGGCTTGGTTTTCAGGAAAGTGTTTTTCTTTTTAGCTGTGTTTGTTTTCTAAAAAGTGGTTTTTAGAAAACCACTTTCCAAACTTTCTTGTGTTTGTTTTCCGGAAAATAGTTTCCGGGAAATCACTTTCCAAACTTTCTTATGTTTATTTGCTGTTAGAAAAGTTGGTCAACGGAAAACACTTTCTAGTCAAATAAAAATTTGGGTTGGTTTCAAGAAAGTGTTTTTCTGAAAAATTTAGGAGGAAAACACTTTCCGTAAGTTGTGAAAAATTTAGAAATGTTATTTTTTGTTGATTATATCAAATTTGATCCTCAAACTTTTGATTGCTATATATATTTTGTTTTGAATATTTATTTTTTAATTTTATTTCTTAAAATTTAATTTTTATATTAACTTTGGTCTTTATTTTTATAGTTATTATTTGCTTTTCTCTTATTATTTTTTTATGAAAAATTTTTACCTATCAAATTCGATCCTCATTCTTCTGATTGTTACTTATTTTATTTGAAATAATTTATGAAATATTAATATTATTATTTTAATTTCTTTATTTTTTATTTCTTTATTTCTTAGATTTGATCTTTATTATTATGATTATTATTTATTTTATTTGAGATAATTTATGGAATTATATTTTTTTTCAATTTCATTCTTATTCAACTTTTAAATTTGTAAGATTTGTTCCTTATTATTTTAATAAACTTGAGAAAAATAAAACATTAATAAATTATTTTCCAGTTCATTTTCCATGACGTAACCAAATATTGGAAAGTGTTTTCCAGTTCATTTTCTATAACACTACTAAATATCAAAAAATAATTCACTTTT